ATTGCCATGGCTGCTATTCAAAAATGGTCTCTTTATCAACTGGATGTCAAAAATGTTTTCTTGAATGACGATTTGCAAGAAGAGATTTATATGGAGCAACCTCCCGGATTTGTTGCTCAGGGGGAGTCTTCTGGATTGGTATGTCGTCTTCGCAAATCTTTATATGGCCTAAAACAGTTTCCTAGGGCCTGGTTTGGAAAATTTAGCAGCGTTGTTCAACAATTTGGCATGACTAGAAGTGAGGCAGACCACTCAGTCTTTTACCGTCACTCGAATGCTGGATGTATCTATTTGATAGTGTATGTCGATGACATTGTTCTTATAGATGAAACAACACCTTTGCCACCATTTTCAAACCAAAGATCTTGGCAAACTCAGATATTTCTTGGGTATTGAGGTAGCACAATCTACCGATGGCATTGTTATATCTCAAAGAAAGTATGCATTGGATATTTTGGAGGAAACTGGGTTGATGAATTCAAAGCCTGTTGACACACCCATGGATCCTAATACCAAACTCTTGCCAAATCAGGGGGAGCCAATGTCAGATCCTGAACAGTATAGAAGATTAGTTGGAAAATTAAATTATCTTACAGTTACTCGCCCTGACATTTCCTTTGCGAGTCAGTGTGGTGAGTCAATTCCTCAATTCTCCTTGTCAAGATCATTGGAATGCGAGTCATCCGTATATTGAAGTACATCAAAAAGTCTCCTGGAAAAGGTTTGGTGTATGACTCCCATAATCATACAAGAGTTGTCTCGCTATTCGGATGCCGATTGGGCAGGATCTCCTCTCGATAGAAGATCTACATCTCGGGTATTGTGTTTCCATTGGTGGTAACTTGATCTCATGGAAAAGTAAGAAACAAAGTGTTGTGGCAAGATCCAGATGCGAAGGCGAGTATAGAGCTATGTCCTCGGCTACCTGTGAACTTATTTGGCTCAAGCAATTGCTTAAAGAGCTACAATTTGGAGATGTCACTCAAATGACACTAGTGTGTGACAATCAGTCGCTCTCCATATAAGCTCTAATCCTGTCTTTCATGAGAGGACAAAACACATTGAGATTGACTGCCATTTTATTCGGGAAAAGATTATGTCTCGGAGACATCAAGACCGAGTTCGTTAACTCATGTGATCAATTAGCAGATATTTTCACTAAGACTTTACGGGGACCTAGGATGGATTATCTTTGTACCAAGCTTGGCACATACGATTTGTATGCTCCAGCTTGAGGGGGAGTGTTAGATATGATTAGATATTAGTTGATATTGTTTGATATTGTTGAGATATTGTTAGATATTGTTAATCACAATATCAAATAATATCTTTTTATTTACTCTATTTGTATTCTGTTACTCTTTTGAGGAGTACCTTTCTTTATTATAAATACACTGCCCTATGTGTGGTAAATACATAAGGGAAAATTAACTCTATACAGTTTTTCCCTATATTCAACAGAGTGCATATCAAACCACTATCAAGCTTTTCTTTGATGAAGTATCTGTCTACTTCAATATGCTTTGTTCTATCATGTTGCACTGGGTTGTGGATTATGCTGATTGTTGACTTATTATCACAATAGAGCTTCATAGGTTTTTCCCATTTTATCCTCAAGTCAAGCCATAGCAACCCAAATATACCTTGTGCCATGGCTTGAAATTTTCCGCTTCAGCACTGGACCGAGTCACTACACCCTGCTTTATGCAGTGTTTATGTTTACTAGGAAGGTTTTATGGGTAGGAGAGAAATTTTTAAAGGACAGGTAATTTGAGAGAGGGTAGAGTGGCTGTTTGGTGCATTTTCTTGTTCTTTTTCTAATGGCAATTGGGAGGTCAGGATCATTTTGGGTTTCAATTTCAATCTGCACAGCTGGAGAAAAAATTGTTACCTCTTTTTGTGAAGTCGAGTTGGATTCTTGAACATGGCTTGATCCTGGAATGACCTTAGTCTTCCTTGAGTATACTAGCTTCTTACCAAATTTTCCAACTTCAACATCTTCTTGATCAGCTTCAACATCTTCTTGATCAGTTTCACAATTAATTTCACTTTCTTGACAAACTTCCTTTTCATGACCAATTCCTTGACTTATTTCATTTGTTACAACTTCAATTTGATCTTCAATTTGATCTCGTTTAGGTTCAAATATCAAGTCTGGAAGAATGGGAAAACCAGAATTACTACTTTCAATATGATTTCGTTTAGGTTCAAATGTCAAGTCTGGAAGAATGGGAAAGCCAGAATTACTACTTTCCTTATCTTCCTTATCTTCCCTGAAACTCTCCCCCTGAAGATAAGGTTGATGGAAATAGCCCTCTTGTTCATTGAAGGTAACATCCCTAGACACAAAGAATTTTTTTGATGGGGGATGGTAGCATTTATACCCTTTTTGAGTGGGTGAGTAACCAAGAAAGACACACTTTAAGGCTCTAGGATCAAGTTCCCCCCTGTCTGTACTATGAATATGGACATATGAGATGCACCCAAAAACTCTTAGTTTAACATTATTTGTAGTAGACAAGTTTGGATAGAAAGACGACAAAGCTTCCATAGGACTTTTTGATCCTAAGACTCTAGAGGGTAGTCTATTGATAAGGTATGTTGCTGTAAGGACAGCTTCCCCCAGAAATTTTTTGGGACACTTTTTTGGAACAACGATGCCCGAGTCTGATTTAATAGATGTCCATTTTTCCTCTCTGTGACCCCATTCTGTTGTGGTGTTTTGACACAAGAGGACTCATGAATTATACCTTCTTTTTGACAAAAAGAATTAAGGACATGATTAAAGTAATCTTTGGCATTATCTGACCTAAGCCTCTTAATATTAATACCAAACTGATTTTTTATCATGGAGTGGAAGTTTAGGAAGACAGAACTGACTTCTGATTTTTTTTTAAGTAGGAAAACCCAAGTGACCCTTGTCCAGTCATCTATAAAGGTGACAAACCATCGAGTACCAGACACATTTGGAATATTAGAAGGTCCCCATACATCAGTATGAACAAGATAAAAAGGGACATTGCTAATTCTATTACTTATTGGAAAAGATATACGCTTGTGCTTAGCAAGTTCACACACCTCACAATGAAGACTCTCAACATCTAACTTGGTAAACAGAGAGGGAAACATAATTTTGATCACTCCAAAAGAGGGATGTCCCAACCGACAATGATAAAGCATGATTTTTTCTCTGTTGGTCATCAAGGATTCAGATATGAAGGAGTGAGAGATTCTATTCTTGCTAGGCAGACTTGGATCTTCGAGATAATAAAGGTCATTCCATTCTCTAGCATGTCCAATCTTCCTCCCCGAATCCTTGTCCTGAAATACACAATGATCGTTGAAAAAAACAACTTTACTTGACAAATCCTTTATAAGTTTTTGTATAGACACTAGGTTCGTGGACAACTTTGGGACATGGAGAACATCTTTTAAGGTTATTAAAGGATTGATTTGGATATTTCCTTGACTAGCTGCAGTTATAAGGGTTCCATCTGCTGTGGCAATTTTCTTGTTGCTGGGACATGGGGAATATGTGGAGAAGTGTTTGGTTAATGGTGTCATGTGATCTGTGGCTCCAGAGTCCAATATCCAATAATGGTTAAAAGGCGTATCTGAGACATTTAATCCAAAAGAAAGTGAAAACTTACCTGAGTATGCCAAAGAACACATACCTGTAGGTTTTTCCAGCTTACTAAGAACGATTTTCACCCTTTCTATCTCCTCTTCCCTTGACATTATAGCAAAAAGGTGTGATGCAACAGCAATGCAGGCTGTCGTCTTAGGATTAAGAAATATGCAGCAGCAATGCAGGCTGCCGTCTTAGGGTTTATCGCGCGCAGACATAGCTTCCTAGATCGGAAACTCTGATACCATCTGGAAAATTAGATTAATTGAAATATGATTTTTTATTATTTTAATACAAAGAGATGATATAAGATATATACAAGAGACCTAAGTTATTTTAGGAAATATAATAACTCTATTTTATGCTAGGATCCCTTGATTTATGGGATTGTTCCTAATTATTCAAATCTGTACAGATTACAAGGAAATACAAATTTCCTAATTTATTCTTTCCTAAAATACTATTTGATTTCTCACATGTTCCTTTTAAGAAGAGCTCAAGATAGAAAGAAGATAGACAAACATAGGACTGAACGACAGTTTGTGCTCACAGAAGCTACGCCAAATTGAATCCCATGTTCTTTGGTCCTTTCAAGGTTTTAGATCGTATTGGAGCTGGTGCATACAAGCTGGATTTTTTCTACTTCTTCCAGAATACATCCTGTTTTCCATGTCTCTCAGCTTTGAAGCTTTGAAGACATATTGGCAATGTTGTTTCAAATCCTACACTTCCTCTGGATGCTGTTGATGCCATTTCTGACAAAGAACCTGAAGCAATTTTGGATAGAGCTACTGTCAAAAGAGGAAATCAAGCTGTTACTAAAGTCTTGGTTAAATGGAAGCACCACCGCCCTGAAGATGCTTGCTGAGAATTTTACTATAATTTGAAGTAGTTTCCTTTTCATCCTTGAGGTCAAGAATTTTTTTTCAAGAGGGGAGGATTGTTACGGAGTTAGTTAGTTATATTCAGTTACAAGGTTATGTTAGTTGAACATATAAAAGGGAAACTTCCCATTTTCTAAGGATAATAATAATTTATTGTAAACAAATCCTTCCCTGCTACTCTCACCAATAAACTTCTTCGGGATCTCTTCTTGTTCAAGATTCCCTAGTTTTCTTCTGGTTATTCGACTTTTCCTTAAAATTCCTAGAACTATTACTTCTCTTATCAGACAGTGACCAAGAAAACAATTACTGTGTCCAGTAAATGGCATTTGTCTTTGTAGAATAAGTTGCACTAGCATTAAGTACTTAAAGTTGCCATTCTCATAAGTTTTACTTTTTTTCATCTATGCATAGCTGAATTTTGTTTGTCAGCTTGCTGTATCTGTAAAATATGAAATCAAAAGTCTAACACAACCATATTGTTTCAGATAGAAGATGCTCGTGCTGCTATGCTGCTTTACCAAAGAAATAAGAAGGAATGGGAGAAGAGCACAAAAGACCAATCTCGGTTCAATCAGAAGCAAAGGAAAATGAAGCAGAAAAAGAAGCGGGAGATTGAAGATGCTTCAAACGCAAACCATGTTGAAATCGGATCATAGAATTGGGTGGCCTTTTGAAAACATCTGGTCACGGGACCTCTCCTTCAGTGCTTTTTTTTGTATTGCTTAAATTTGAACTCCAAATACAGTAAAAAAGAAACATTTTTTTTATTGTTAGATCAATATTTTCGCTGTAGGTCACACACTTGTTTTGCTTTGCACTTTCTGTATAATTGGTGAAAAAGTTGTCGGTTTCAGTGAGTACAAGTCATGTTAGTTTAAATTAAATCAACAGTGTGTGTATTCTCTTGTTTAGATAACAAATCATCTTTTCTTTTCTTTTTTTGTCTATGTTGATGATCTCGTTGTTAATTGAGTACAAGAAATAACTTAAATAATTCCTATATATTTATTTTCATATCAAAGACCTCGACATGTTAAAGTGTTTCCTGGAATTAGATGTTGCACGATTTTCTTCAACATCTTACTGTCAGAACCGTCTGAACTTGCTAATTTAATCTGGTTTGTTACAATCGAAACCATTATCAACATTCACGGACAACCTACTTAGTCTCGGTTAAGGTTTTGGTATTATTTTGTATGATTATTTTTCTATCGACATCTTGTTAATTGTCTCATTTACATGATAAAGATGGGTCCAAATATCACATTTGTTACTTAACAATTTAGTCAATTTAGGTTTAAGTTTAACCAATATCATTATTACAAGATATCTCAACATTAGTTTGAGGAAAAACTTATTTTTCTCTCCATCTAATTCAATTATTTAGTAACTAAATACATTGATTTTCACATATTAATAGTAGGTTATTGTTTCTTTCTTATTAAATCTTTAGTGTCATGGAAAACCAAAAAACAAGGCACAGCTCTTGATTCTCCTCCAAAGTTGAATACTGAGTTGTTGCAACCAACGCATGTGAGTTTCAATGATTTATTTACCTCTTAAAACATTTCTAGTTGCGGTCGAGGGATTCCATTCATAGGAAGGATGCGATGACCCAAGATGCGATTTGGTTGAAGTAGTAGACGCTGCGAAGTGAGCCTGTGTGGTAAGAGGGAGAGACCGAGAATGGTGGTGTTTATGGACTTTGGAGCCTTCAGGAAGGTCAAGCTCATAAGCGACTGGTCCAATAACTCGTGTGATCTGAAAGAGACCAAAGTAAAGAAAAGCAAGTTTAGGGAAGGGTCGATGTTGGACCGAGGTTTGTCGATATGGTTGTAAACGCACAAAGACCTAGTCACCCACATGAAAACTCTTATCTTGGCGGTGCTTGTTGGCTACTGACTCCATTCGTGCGCGAGCACAAAGGAGATTACCGCGGACAAGCAGTAAAATGACTCTTTTGGCGCAGCACATCTTCAACTGAAACCATGGTGGAGGAGCCCTGAATGTAGGAGCCAATGGATGGAGGTTTGCGACCATATAAGGCCTCAAATGGGGACATTTTCAAGGTAGTGTGGAAACTGGTATTGTACCAATACTCAGCTAGATGAAGAACGTGGGGCCACCGTTTAGGTTCATCGCCAACCAGGCTGCGTAGGTAATCCTCCAATACCATATTAACACAACCTTCGTTTCGCCATCACTCTGAGGATGGTAAGCACTACTATATGATAGAGTAGTTCCACTTAGATGAAAATGCTCTTTCCAAAAACGGCTAACAAATACCTTGTCTCTATCGTTTACTATGGTTCGGGACCTTGTCTCTATCGTTTACTATGGTTCGGGGCATGCCATGCAGGCGGTGCATTTCTTGAAGGAAAACAGGGGTCAGGGATTCAGCAGAGAAACGAGTTGGAAGGTGTTTCTGGTGAAAATTTGATCGATTTTGATTAAATCAGAAATTTAAGTTCTAATCAAATTTTGACCACGTAGATTCTTCTTATTTAGCCTAGCAAACTATTTTCAATCGAAAAATGCATGAGAATCGAAAATATCAAAATGTCAATGCCACAGTGTCGAGAAATGTTAACAATGCAATATATCATTTCAGATTGTCAATAGAAAACACTATTACTATTTTTGGTATTTTTTATTAAGAAACGCGAAGTAAAGAAATCAAAAAGTGTCGAATCGAAAAACAGTGCAGAATATTAAATTACAGAAAATGTAAAATGCAGAAACCTTAAATTTGCATTAAGTGTAAATAACAAGGAATCGAAATTACGGAAATGTAAATAGCAGGAAATCGAAATTGCAGAAATGTAAATGACGAGGATCTTAAACGCATAACCTTAACTTGCATAAAAGTAAATTTTGCGTAAAAGTAAATGACAAGGAATTGAAAAGGCAAAAACTTAAAGTTGATAAACATAAATTGCAATGAAAGTACATTACCAGGGAAAGTAAAGAAAGTAATAAAGATAATCAACGAAAACGGAAATCCAGAGCATTAGAAACTTCATGATGCGTCGTTCTCCTGCAGACTGTTCACTTGCGCTTCTGTTGTCTCTGCCAATTTCCCCTTCTTCCTCAAGTCTTCGCTCTATTTATAGAGCGCTCTTCAAGTAACCTCCTAAGAGCAGTTGACAAAACTGTCACCACGATCCAACGTGCACGTCCCTTAGTTCCACGGTTTAGGAAATTGCATTCCACGTTCTCATGCATGAGAGAACTGCTCTCTTGATCTTCGATCTCTGCCACGATTTAGAAACTGCTTCCCATATTCTATGTGCGCGTTAACCGTTCCCTCGATCTCGATTTCAGACATCGAGTGTTTTGAATTATTTTGATTCACCTTAATCTTAATATTACACCAGATTCTAATTTCTCGATTTTCTTTAACAATAGACATCAAATATTCTTCCTTCGATTCTCGATTTATATGTGTTTTCATCTTGTGGTTACCGGGTGTTTCCTAACTGTCTTTTATCAAATTTTCAACCAACCATATGATCTTCGATATTTCTCTCTCTTGTTTTTTCGATCCTGGTATCGATTTTTCTTTTACTAACAAATGCCCCCTGGAAGAATATCAATTTTTATATTCTTCCAAATATGACTCCCGCCCTTAATCGTTCTTGAAACTTGAAATAACTCCTTAGGGTTTTTAGGGTTTCCGAGGTTTTAGGGTTTCTCGGGTTTTAGGGTTTTTCTACTTTATGTCACCTATCACATCACCTCTGCTGCCACGCTTTTAATTACCCGCTTCAAATTCGCCGTTTCACATACCCTACTCGGCTTCTTTAAATACTTTTATCAATTTTTACTCTTGTTTTTTACCACGAACCTCACTTCTCCTTCGTTGCACTTCCTCATCTTCAACCTTTCGTCTTCCTCTTCTCTACCGACTGTAATGGCGACCTCCAAATCTTCTGATTTCTCCGTCTCACCACTTTCCTCGGTGACCTCCAACCTAATAGAGATTAATGGGAAGAAGTTTGCTCTGGTTCCTTTGATGGAAGAAGCCTCACAAAGGATTGCCAAGACCCAAGTACTTATCCCTTACGTCGCTGGTAATGTATGTTATGCATTTGGTGGTCCTATCCGCTATTATGGCGGATCGTTTTATTCTTCCCTCAGTCTTTCTTCAGAGAGTAAGACTCTTATTCATCAGTCTGAGGTTCGAATTGATTTTCTGAATATTGTCTCCAAAATATATCGAACAGACCCTCCCCACAAAAAACCCTTGTACATTAGGTGGTTTGACCGAGTTAAAACTAAGTTTGGGAACTATTGGAGAGATGTAGGGATCTTTGATTTCCTACATCTGTCTCGATGTGATCTGTCATTGTTAGATATGACCATGTTTTTATCTGCTGTCCATTTGTGGAATAAGGATTTACATGCACTGGAACTTCCTTGTGGTCCCCTTTCACCCACCCTTTTTGAAATTGTTGCAATTACTGGATTAAAGCCCACAGGGGAGAAATACTATAAGGGTGCTTTCCCTTCGGATAATTCTTTAAGGCCAAAAATCGATTGGGAATCGAAGGCATATGAACATTTTCTCGAAAAACATTTTGTCGACGATCAAACAGTAGCTGTTTCTGATGAAGAGCATGTGGCCTTCCTGGTATATTGGCTTTGCACCCACGTCTTTTGCCCTCGATCCATCCAGATCTCGTCCCACCTTTATAATCTTTCCTATCTCCTCCACACTGGCCAACCACAGATTTGTTTAGCAAAGTTGTTATTGGCCCATGTTTATACTTCTTTTGATGGAGTCGTCGATATTTTGAATACCCCCAGGGCCTCGGGGAATTTTTCAGGTCCCATTTGGTTCATTCAATTATGGCTTACCTCAATTTTTGAAAGTATCCTCCCTCCAACCTTCAACATTCCCCAAAATTTAAATTTGGAAGGTGCTTGATTGTCATCTCGACACCCTCACCACAAATCCGAAGAGACTAGTTATCGCAATTACCTAAGATTTTTGTTGACTCGATTTCATTTTGAGTCAAACTTGGCCCCCTTCACCGTATATCAAGGGAAAGTAAGTGACAAGCTTCGAGGGCCGGCATGGTTTAAGTCAAAATTCCCTGCTCTTACTCCCGGGTTACAATCAGAATTGGTCGAAGTGTGGAGCAATTACCTAACCCAAGATGTTCTGGTATCGGGTTTTCAATCGAAGGATCTTCAACTCGTCACTTATTATCCCCAGCTCTTCTCGCGGCAGTTTGGTTTGAGTCAAGCTTTACCCTTTTTCCCCCTCGATACCTCCTCAAGGTCCAAATTAAGTGAATCAACTGTTGGATGGGAGCTTGCCAAACTGTTGCCAAAAAACCCGATGCATTTTTACCCTTATACTTTTGAATCGAATTATTTATCTACTCTTGGTTTTTCTCAGTGGTGGACCGATTGGTTTTCAAATATTCATTCTAATTTTGACATAGTCCAATCAAAATTGACTGCTCGTCCTTCTCTCGTGTTGCAGGACAAATCGAAGGCGAAGAAAGGTACATACTCTCACTATCTCCAAATATCTCGATTCGAAAATTTTTATCGAGCATGCTACAACCCCTTGAAATTAGAAGAGACCTTTTATGATGTTGTTATTTCCCTAGTCAATAAAACAGACACTAACCGATCAAACCAC